TATGACACAGAAGGTAACTGACATGCAGCAGCAGGCATTCACTATACACAACTATGCAAGAACTGGCTTCTCATAATGTGTGCAGCAAAAGAGAGGCAATGTGGCAGCATGCATGTGATGCATGATGTGATCCTTGTGTTTTCTCAAATTATCATACACAGCATCAACTCGTCATACGTATACATATATGAGGTTCATGTGGATTTAGCAATAGGTCCTTTTAATTAAGATAGGTAGTTAAAAGATAAGCTTGATGGTTGATTAGTGATTGATGCCTCACCTTATCATGTCCTCCAAACATGGGCTTGAACTTGTCAACAACTTGAGACTTGAGCAAAATTTGGGCATACGGAGCTCCACTGCCCAGTGCAGCAAGTGTGCCAAATAACAATGAGCCCCACAGCAAGTACCAGTGCCAAGAGGCACCATCATCTCTGAGCCCAAAATCCTAGGAAAGGAGATAATTTTCAAAGTAATATAGCATTTTCAGGTTTCCTATTCCAAAGCTTGAAAATACAGTATCAATACAGTATATTTATTTACATTCCTTGCTGCTGTCCAAGATAAGGGGACAGCTGAAACCCTCTAATTCAAGAGGGGGGGGGGGGTACAGTCAACCCATGGTTAACGTTCTGTTTGCTGAACATTTTCTCACTCAATGTTCCTGGTCCAGTGAGAAAAATCCCCTAGCTTAACGTTCCAAAATCCGCTTAATGTTCTGCAGTTGTGCAGCACTGGGTGATCAATGTGGATGCCTCCCTCCCTCCCTCCTGTATATTTTCTTGAATGTGACTTTTTCCACAGCTTTAAATGTGTTTCCTGTGTGGTGTTACAATTATTTTATGAACAATTGCAGTGTCACACACTGAATTTTGGGTAAGACTTAGACCTTTCCTTGTTTAAAATGAATCTCTGATTTTAATTGAGTGAAGAACTGTGGTTACTTTTTGATGTAATGGCAGTGCATAAAGCTCAGTTGTTGGAATACACTCTTTCATTAATTTTTTCTGAATTTTACCTATAGAAAATTTTGCTGGACACCAATTAAACGTTTCTCCCATATATCTTAAGGGAGAGACTACCTTGCCTAACATTTTTTTCCGCTAACGTTTTTTCCCTCTGCAGTACACCAACTAAAAACGTTAAGCAAGGGTTGACTGTATTGTATTTCCCACCCTCTCTGTTTTGGGATACACTATTTTCAATACGTTGAGGTGCTACTGAAGCTTACCAGCAGGTGAATGTATTTCAGATTTCTGACAAAATTATGAATTAACTTGAACTAGTTTCTTGACTGAACGGATCCGTAAACTAAGTTTAGTACAATACAGTACTTACAAGTCTCTGCCAGCTAGTCTGCTCAAAATCTTTAGGGCTACAAAGTTTATCCAGAAAAAGGGAAGACAGAAGAAAAATTAAGTTAAGTTCCTGTGAGACAGTACGATCTGAATAAAATCCACATTTATTCATCAAAGGAAGCTCTGGGTAAAAAAAAATGGCCACATGAACTTTCAATGAAACTGCTTAAGGTTTCTCTTTAGGAATTGACAAAAGGTGGAAAACATCTGTCTTTTATAAATTCAACGATTATCAACCTGTCAGATACTGAAACAGCAGGTGAACACTCTGCCATGAAATCCAGGGAACCAGAAAAGAATTTCTCAAAAAGAGAATTTTGTTTGTGGAACTACAAAAATTGTTTTACAGAAAAAAAAGTGTCGCATACAATATATTGTGGTTGTAGAGATGAGCGCACCTTCCTTTCATCTGGTCAAATCTATATACAGTACAAGTATGTACAATACTGTGCAGTACTGTATATATATACGGCCTGAAAACTGCAAGAAAGTGCAAGCGACATCTACTTGATTCTCAACGAAACTATGGAACGTAGATTTCCTGATTCAAACCCAGTGTGGCATCATATACAAATGAGAAAGACGACAAACAATTAGTATCGTGGTCAAGGACTCAATACGGGAAACCCCCACAAGCATGCATGCGCACCTCGTCAGCCATAATCATGCGTTGGGCGGCGCGGCGCCTCGCCGATCGTCG